GTGCGCTAATACCACGTGTAGCCCCTCTTTGAGGAGTGATTACCGGGTATTGTATTGATGTGATCCATATTACAAATAAACCTAGGACCCCCTTTATATTCGTTAGCATGCTTAGTTATAACTCTTTCAAGACTTTGTTTTATTTTATCATTTCCAAACACTTGTGTATTTAAATCCTCTCTTATTTGAGCCTTGTTTGTTTGCGTATTAGTGGCACAAATTCACAAAGAACTATCTGGTCGGGAACTACACTAGTGGATCCTGAGGGGTGCCTAACACCTTACCCTTAGGATAATTTCAAGCCCTTACCCTATCTCTGGTTATCAAACATAGTTGTAGTTGAACCCCATAGGTGCCCTAACGCACCTTAAAATCGTTAGGTGGCGACTTTTCAAAATTGCAAACCCCTTTCCCAAAAGGAAAGAGCTGTCCCAAACGAATGTCATAAACCAGATTTCGCGAGAAAAAGGGGCCGCGACAAGGGAATCCTTCATCCCAAGCACTATAATAAGCCAGATCCAGGCATAAATCAATAAAACATGCTGCGATGTGCAGCCAGATATCACTCACAATCAGGCCTCGGCCTCACTCAATCATCAATCTCTGTAGTCTCTCAGGCTCACAATGTCATGAAATTAGCCCAAAAATGATGATATGATGTATCAATAAATAGCAATAAAGAATGAGATATGATATGCAATGAATAAGTATGACCGAGTATAAAATTTCAATTTAAACGTATAATTCAACAGCAGAAATGACCTTAGTGGGTCCCAATAATTCCAACATATGCCTAAGCATGATTTCTAGCATGAATTACAGCTCAGGTGCTCTAACACATAAAGTACAACTTCTCAGTTCCATGGAATCAACTAAATCACAATTCACATGGTGGACGATCACACGCCCGTCACCTAGCATGCGCGTTACCTCAACATCAATCACATAACACGTAATTCGGGGTTTCTTACCCTCAACACCAAGTTTATAAGTGTTACTTACCTCAAACAAGCCAAATCCAATATCGAGCAAGCCAAACGATACTCCAATATGCCATCCCGTGCGTACCGACCTCCGAACGGTTCAAAACTAGGCGAAAGCAACTCAAGATTATCAAATAATGCCAAAGGAAACAAACCCAATCGATAAAGGTCGAATCTTTAATCAAAACCCAAAAGTAAAACCTGTGCCCGCACCTTGAAACCTAAAAAAACTCATAAAATCCGACAACCCATTCAATTACGAGTCCAACCATATTTGTTTCATTCAAATCCGACTCCAAATCGGTGTTCAAAACTCAAGAATTCACTCTATGAAGCTTTAGGCAAAACCTCCAATTTTCTCTTTAAAATTCATAGTCCACATGCCAAAATCGAATATAGATTCATGAAATATAACCAAAGCCGGGTATAGAACACTTACCCCAATCCTTGTGATGAAATTTGCCTCCAAAATCGCTTCATTCTGAAGTCTATAGCTCAGTATGTGATAAAAATGGCCAACCCTCGAACTTAAAGCATTCTGCCTAGCGTTTTCCGCATTTATGGACAGTAGGTGCTTCTGCAACCTTCGCTACTGTGGTGAAAAACTTCACTTCTGCGAAAACAACTTTGCCAAGCAACCCTCGCACCTGTGGTAACAAACTCTGCTTCTGCGAAGACCTTCCTACTTGCGCATCCGCACATGCGCTAAATTCTCTGCTTCTGCGATCTTTCTCACCCAACCTCTTCTCGCTTCTGCGATGGACAACCTGCATTTGCAAAGTCTCTTCTATGACCAAGACTCCGCAAATGCGGCTACACCAGTACCATCAACCTTCCACAATGCAACAAGAGATAAAAATGATTTGAACCATGTTTGTAACTTACCCGAGCCACTCGGGACCCCGTCCAAGTATACCAACAAGTCCGATAACATAACAAGGACCTATTCGAGGCCTGGAATCACACATAACAACATCGAAACGACAAATCGCACCTCAACTCGAGCTTGAATGAACTTTGAACTTTCAACTTCCAAAGCTCGCGCCGAAACATATCAAATCAACCCGGAATAAGCTCAAATTTTGCACACAAGTCCCTATGACATAACAAAGATATTCCGATTCTAGGAACCACAATACGAATCCGATTTCTTCAAAGTAAACTTTTGGTCAAACTTATAAACTTTCCAAACCTTCAAATTCCCAACTTTCGCCAATTTGTGCCAAAACCTTCTAGAAACATCCAAATGTAAATCCAGGCATACGCCCCAGTCCAAAATCACCATCAGGACCTAACAAAACCATCAAAACTCCATCCGAGGTCAAATACTAAAAAGTAAAATTTGGTTAACTCTTCTAACTTAAAGCTTAAATCATGAAATTCATCCTTCTAAATCGATTCCGAATAACCTGAAAACCAAAACCGACGATTCACATAAGTCATAATACATCATACGGAGCTACTCCTGCCCTCAAACTACCAAGCGAAGTGCAAATGATCAACATGACCGACCATGTTATTACACTATGGTCACTCTCTCATGTTTCTCTCTTGATGGTGTACACGCGGTTATTGAGGAAACTGATAAGTGGTTTGGTACAGATATGGAAAGGTTGAGGAAATTCTGGCCAATGTTGTTTTGGAATTGCATATCATCTTTACTTGCAATTTCTGTGATTTATTATCTGATTTATCTGCATATCATCTTATATGCTGTACCCAGTGACTGAGCAGAGATTTTGAGTAATTGTGTACACACACACAGATAGTCCTTTCAGTACCTTATACATGATCACATTATTGTTTGTACTTGTTGGATTTATGAAACTCTACAGGTCATAGCAAGTATTATTTATAATTCTTGTTTCTTTTTCCTTGATGAGGTTAGTTACGATATTTATTGAGTACATTGTGTCGGTTGTACTCATACTACATTCTGCACTTAATTGTGTAGATCCAGGTGTGGGGACCAGTTATCAGTAGTAGATTACTTGTTGGACTATCTTCGAGAGGCGAGGTAGAATCCTTCTGTGAGGCCCCGTGAAAATTTCCATTCAAAACCCGAACCTCGTAGTGCCAAGTTAGGGCCAGGTGTTAGAAGCTCGGACCCTTTGAGCTGATCTATGCATTTAAAAATCAAGAATCAAAGTTTTCCAGAAAAGTGCGAATGTGCGGTTTAGAATGCGGTCGCATACCAAGTATGCGGACCGCATTTCTGCTGCAGAGTGAGTCGGTGTGTTAGCTAATTTGAGGTTAAAGATGCGGTCCATTATGCGATCGCATAACCAATATGCGGACCGCATAGTCGTCGCATAATTTCCTTGGGATTTTGTAAAGGTCAGTTCTGCGGTGTATTATGCGACCGCAGAACGGGTATGCGGACCGCATTTCCGTCGCATGCCCAAACAGAATGTTCAAATTTTGGGAGCCTTTTTGCAGTCTAATCTGCGGCCCGCATTTCCACATTTCCATCGCAAATGCGATCGCAGATCCGACTCGGGGGTCCAATTTTCGAATTTTTAACCCGACCCCCCTATCGTTATATTCGGTATTATAGCTCATTTTGAGCATTTCTAGAGTGAAAGAGAGGGGTCTTAGAGATGGAAAGTTCTCCTCATCAAATTACACCATAGAATCTTGCTAAATCCTTGAAGATAATCAAGTGAGAGCTTCTAAACCTTCATCCCTAGAGGTAAGGCTTCTTCACCTCAGTTCTTATTTCCACATTCAGCTATAAGGGGGTCATTAGTGAGGTAATTCATGGGTACAAGAATTGATTCCTTGCATGCACATCTAAACTTAGGGTATTGGAAGATAGTAAACTAAAAAGAAAGTAATTGGGGTATAAAATGATAGAAATTCCTAGCAAGAAGGACCTAAGATCATAGTGCACCATTAGTGTTTGATGTTATGCTCGAACCAAGCTAGAATCTCAACCTCGTCCCTAATTCTCGGTTTACATTGTAATTCTTACATAATAGATCGAAGTGATAAGAGTTCCGGAAATTTATAAGGAGTAAGGAAAGCTATATTGAGGTATGTATGGCTAAAACCCCCTTTTATTAGAAATTGAGCTCCGTGGGCGTTTACGAAAGTGTGGTAAGATTTGAATTGGTTAATGTATTGATTGTTATTGCGCATTAATTGATTTGTAATTATCTACACATATACGTGAAGGATGTGCCTCAATGTGATGTAATGTACCATTCTTGAAAATTTAGAGAAGTATGAAGAATACAATTATGTGTCGAAATGCTTAGGCTATAGGCCAAGATTGAAACTGAGAATTATTCATGCTAGCTATGTGCTCACTTACCTGTGCTTGCAACTTAAACTACTCTTGTATATGTCTATGATCACAACTTGCAAGATGAATATTGAAAACGGATAACGATGTGATAATGGTGGCCCTAAGTGCCGAGGAATTGATATGATATATGTGAAATAAAGAATCGTATGTGGTGACTAATGAGAAAGGAACAATGCCTAGATAAGGCGACCTAGCCGATCGGGTCGTGATCGGACACCATGCCGCATGTAGACATGTGATTTTTGACCCTCCCCAAGATTTTTATATTTTAGCACGTAAATATTTAATTTAGGCCTAATATCGCTATTTCAGCTAATTTTAACTCTTTTACTTTATTTCGTCACAAAAAATAAAAATTATAAAAAATATTTTAGTTTACGTATCTTTGGTAAATTTAAATAAAAAAGTATACAAAAATAGTACCTTATCTTTATTTTTATGTGATCTTGAAAACACAAAAAAGTAGTTTTACATTTTATAGTTTAGTTCAATTAATTAAAATTAGTTTTATATTTTTATATTATAATTGTACATAATTTTAGAAGGAGAAATTAGTTTTAGTTTGGTTTATCCCGTCTTTATAAATTTTTTTAGTTCATTTTTTTAGTCTTTGGCCCAATTCCCTAGCCCATAATCCCTAGGCCCATACTCCTAACCTAATCCCTACCCATATATAATAGTATATAATCCCTAAACACCCTATACACCTAAAACACGCCTAAAAACCCATCTAATCCGCCGTTTTAGAAGGACCCCTTCCCCCATCTGATTTTTGATCTCTTTCTTCACAAAGATACAAAAAAACAGAATAAAGATCCCTACACCAAGCTTCAACCAGGATTTTTCATAAGTTTGGACTACACAACCCTTTAGCACAAAAAACAGAGAAAGGCGAATGCTCCTTCTTCTTCTTCAAAGTCACGACAGCCATTTTTTTTTTGGAAAAATCAGAAAAAATCATCTAATCTCCATCGTCACTCTCTCGGGCAAAAAGAGAACTCATCAACGACCCTTTCCTCCCCAAAAACACCTTCACCCATTTACAAACAGCTACGAACGCCCCCAACAGTCATTAACCACCACCTGTTCATTGTCCATGTTGCTGAAATTTTGGATTTCCGCGAGTCTATTTTTGCTTCTTCGTCGGGTTTTAGAAGTAGTCGACGTGATCTTTTCCATCGTATTTACGTTTTCGGCGAGGCCGTAGCTGTTGATTCATCTTGTTCGTGTAATTACTGGAAATTTTCCATCAATTAAAGATTCTCATTCAGGTTTGATTCTTGTTTCTCCATGAAATGTACTTCTGTTAAAGGCAGTCCTGCTTCATTTTTCATGAGTCAATTTACTAAGCTTCATAATTTGATCAAACATTGGATCTCATTTTTTCAATTTGTGAGTTCAAAAGAACCAGTGTTCTTTTCCACATGTGTTTTCGTCCACTCTGCGGAGAAGTGGTCAAGTTCTTAATGTGGTAAAGTTAATAGTATGGACTAATGGACCTTCTTGTTTATTTATGTCAAGATTTATCATCGTATACTAGGAAATGACATAGACTCAAATTAAGCCTCATGGTATTATTCTTCAAACTGTAATTCTTTTACCATTTGATCTTCATAATTGTTTTGGATATCAGATAAGTTGAATTGTTATGGTCACGTGTCTCATAAGTTGCAACATTAAATATCATTTTGTTCCTTTAGCAATTGAACTCCATTTGTGGTAAATTAGAACTATGCGAGTCACGTGAGTTTGTTCGGCCGAAAATGATAATAGGTTTTGGGCTTTGTTCTATTGGGTCGTTGTTTGTTTAGTTAAAATTGAATAATGGGCCATAAGGTGGATCTCGAACCATAAGAAATTTGGGCCAAGTAATACATCATGTTAGCTAGCCTATTTACTCCCCAATAATATCTTGTCCATGGCATCAATAATCTCAAATTTAGGATCATGAACATCTGTAGCTTGCTTTAGTTGAGTACAACCCTTTGGAATAATTTGAGGCGAGCCATGCCAAATAAAACCCCTAAGCCCATGGCCCCCATTTAATTAATTTTAACTCTTTAGAAATCGAGGTGTGCCATTAGTTGAATTTTCCATGGCCCTCGCAAACCTTGTTATTAACTTGAAAGCGCGTAGTTGCTTTAGGCGCGCTATTTAAATTAGTTTCCTTAAACTCGAGTGTGCATTTCATGTGACCCAACTCCAATTCTCAACAACGTTAAATAAAATGTATCGTGGATCGCGGGTGCATTTCATGTGACGTGGTTCAAGGCGTGTTTTAAATAACGTTGAATCTTCCTAAAATTAATTAAAAGCGTTTAATAAGTTAAAATGTACCATGGGCTAAAACATGTATTAAAATCAGATAATGGGCCAATTATAATAGTTTAAGCGACCGTGCTAGAACCACGGAATCCGGGGATGCCTAATACCTTCCCCCGGGTTAACAGAATTCCTTACTTAGAATTTCTGGTTCGCAGACTTCAAAAGGAAAGTCGAAATCTTCCTCGATTTGGGATTTAAAATAAACCGGTGACTTGGGACACCAGAAACAAACCATCCCAAGTGGCTACTCTGAAAAATCAAATAAATAATCCCATTTCGAATAATGTCACTTAAATTGGAAAAACTCCCTTATATACTATCCTTAGGGGTGGTGTGTAAAAAAGGAGGTGTGACACCGCACACATGGTGGTAATATGCTGATATTGAGCTCCGGATAGAGGAAATGAAATAGTTATTGAGATACATGCCTCAAATGATGCAACCTAGCCGGTCCGATCGTGATCGGACTCCGCTCAAGATAGCGGTGGTATTGAGAACAGTGATGAACGTAGGAAAGGAATGCCCCAAACTAAGTTATGGGAATTATGTGAATGATTATATGATTTGCATATTTGATTCACCTATGTGATTTACTTGTCATTGCTTGGTAGTTCTTTCTAGTAAAATGGTGCTTAGTTATACATACTAGTACTATTCCATGGTACTAACGCCCCTTTTCCCGGGGGCGCTACATTTTCTTAAATGAATGTAGGTGGATCCATAGCAGATAGTGCCGATCGTGTGTAGCGGAGCATTCTCCTTCCCAAAGATCTTGATGAGCCCCTTTCTCCTTCAAGGGGCTATATTGCACATCTTCTTATTTTGGACTTTCACTTTTGAGGTATAGCCGGGGCCTTGTTGCCGGCGTTGTCACATTTATTTTTGTATCCTTAGAGGCTCTGTAGACATGTATGTGGGTTATGCGTGGGCATTGAATGGGCGTGCTATCCATGTTGTAAATCTAAACTTATGTTGCCTATGAATTGTAACTCTATGGGAACCTTGGAAACTAACTTATCTACAGTTAATGCGGTGATCTAAAATGAACTAAAAATGTTGAATATACTATATCCCTTTGTTGAATAAATGAAAGCATGGTCCCCTTATTCGTATTGAGTTGGGTAGATAGTGTTTGGTAAGGCTTGCTCAGTTGGGGTCACTCGATTGAGCGCCGGTCGCGCCTCCCGAGGTTGGGGCGTGACACCTTCGCTGCAGTTTTGACTTTTTTTTTCCTTATATACTTTCTTTACAGTTCAGACAAAATTATTATTGTTCAATTTCAGACTTGTATTCTGTTGTAGAGCTCATGACTTCGTATTTACTAGTTTCTAGGAGATTTACCTTGTATTAGCAGTATTTAGTTGTATTGAGATTTCAGACTTATGTTATTTCTATAAGTTCTGTTGTTATGTTTCCTTATGGCTATGTTTTGGCTTGCCTAGCCGGTGTGTTAGGTGCCATCACGACGAGTTGGGATTTTGGTTCGTGACAGTTTCATAATCCTGAACTGGTATAAATGACATGTTACGGTGTATGCATGTGCAAGTATACTATCACACCTCAAGTCAACAGGTAAAATCAGAGATACCGAGTAGCATATTAGGAACAACACAATAAATCACGTAATATGCAGGACACATACAAGAAAGTCACACCACAGAACGAATATCATCAATAACATGTCCCCAAGCCATCACATATAATAACATAGCCCCCTTGTCTCGCCACGTGCGCAACAATAAAGTAAATGCACGTCTTTTCTCGCCACACACACACCAATAATTCTCCCACCTTGTCCCGCCACATTCACAAATCCGATGTATATATAGCCCGCCTTGTCTCGCTGCATGTGCAAATATCAATAATAACAATAGCACGACAAAACTCGTGCAAACACCCTGACAATCCTCTCAACAATTCCACATGTACCAATGTCACAATCAACATAACATATCAACTCGCACCACACGTGCCCATATGCCACAACATTGCCAAAATAACAATACCAATATCATAATAACGTATAGCCTACGGCTTAACAACAATGTATACAAGAGTCTCAAAAACAACACAATAAAATAGAAAAAACTCAACAATGAATGATATTCCATAAAAAACAACATTAATTAAAACATGTTAATTGCTCTCAATAACTACAACTCCAATTAAATGCATAAGAATAAACTTAACAATGAAAGATATGACATGTAGTAAGAACCTCAATTAAATGCATATAAAAATAAACTCGACAATGAAAGTTAGAACACGTAATAACAACTTCAATTAAAGTATATCAGAGTAAACTCGACAATGAAAGATATAACATGATATGACAACTTTAATTAAATGCATATAAGAAACCTAAGAGTCTAAACCGGTCAATTTACACATATAAGGTTGTGTACACACTCGTCATCTAGTGTACACGTCTTCCACGTAATTCAAATAGTGCAATTAAACCAAATCCTACGGGGTAGTTCCCTCACACAAAGTTAGACAAGTTACTTACCTCAAAAGCCCTCAATCAATACTCTAAAAATGCCTTTCCTCTAAAATTCACCTCCGCTCGGTTCAAATCTAACCAAAATGGACTTAATAACATCAAAAGAGAAACCAATTTTAATTAAAAAAATTAAAATTTTTACACAATTTTCCAAAAGTCAACAAAAGTCAACCCCGGGCTCGCCAGATCAAAACCCGGGTCCAAGGGTAGATCTCGACTACCCATAACCCCACGAGTCCATATATGTGTTTTATTTTCAAATCCGAGTCCAATTCAACTCAAATATCAAATTTTTATTTTTCAAAACATAGACCAAATCCCACAAAATTCTCTTCAAATTCCATAGATTAGAAGTTAAATCTTATAATAATCATGTAATATAATTGAAAATTGATCAAAATAACTTATCCAATAGTTGAATGTTAAAATCCCTCCTCAAAATTGCCTCCCGCCGAGTCTAGGGTTTTAAAATATGATAAATGAAGCTAAGTCCCGTAATTCCACCCTTTTGTTCAGGTGCAGACGTTGCAAAAGCGACTTCGGGTTTGTAATTGCAAACCACCACAAAAGAGGACACACTATCGCAAGTGCTGCACCTGACAATCCAAGGGAAAGTCGCAAATGCGACCCTAACTTCGCATTTGTGATGTCTGGCCATTCGCAAAAGCAGTCTTAAGATCGCAAATGCAATCAAGCCAGCCCAGGCCCGACCATCGCAAAAGCGAAAAAAATGTTCGCAAATGGGAATGACTCAGTTCCAGTGAACCTCGCAAATGCGATCCCCACCTCGCAGATGCGAACAATATCTCGCATTTGTGAGATCCGAGGCACTAACAAAACAGAAACATCCTGAAACACTCGGAAACGCTTCTGAAACTCACCCGAGCCCCTGGGGCTCCACACCAAACATCCACACAAGTATAAAAGCATCATACGAACTCACTCATGCTATCAAAACACCAAAATAACATCCGGAATCAAGAATCTGACACCAAAACAAATGAAAGTTACACTGAAACTCAAGAACTTCTAAACTTACGACCACGCGTCCGATTCCTATCAAATCAACTTGGATTGATGCCAAACTTTTCAGACAAGTCACAAATGACAAGACGGACCTATTCCAAGTTCTGAAACTGAAATCCGAACTTGATAGCCAATAAGCCTAATCATAGTCAAACTTAAGAAATTTCTATGCCTTCAAATTTCCAACTTTCGGCAAAACAAGCCAAATCAACTTAGGGACCTCCAAATTCAACTACGGGCATATGTCTAAGTCCAAATCACCATACGAGCCTAACAGAATGATCAAAACTCCGATCCGAGATCAAATACACAAAAGTCAAACTTGGTCAACTCTTCAAACTTAAAGCTTTTAAAAGGAGAATCATTCTTCCAAATCAATCCCAAATCGCTCGAAAACCGAAATCTACCATACATGCAAGTCATAATACATGATACAAAGCAACTCAAGACTTCAAAACACTTAATTGAATGCAAATACCCAAAATAACCGATCAGATCATTACATTCTTCCCCACTTAAACATACGTTCGTCCTCGAACGTGCCATTGTCTCTCCAAAACCATCAAATCATTGTATAACTCACCATACACATACACATGGGTGATCCCACGTCACCCCAATTCACATAAGCCTGAAAACACCATCACGACTGAAGATTATTCCTTCCACCCATACTGATAAGACTTAGAACCAAATTTCAACATTCGATCATCCCCCAAAGACCCAATTTCCATACAAACACACTGTATCAACCCCTAAGCAGCTGCAACAGCTCATGCATAAATCCACAAGATTTAACCACATGACATAACACATCATCCATATTCCATAGCAACAACTCTGACCACAGTAGTTGCCCATTACCAAACCCGATATCGGTAAATAACCTCATGATAGAATATAAGGGTCCACCAAACTCTATAGAGAAACAAGTTCTCTATCAAATTCAACAGTACACATGCACACTGCAGTAAATATAATGACAAGAGGAATTTTATGTGGAAAATTCCCTGCTCAGCGGGATTAAAAACCACGACCTACACTTGTAGGATTTCAATTTCACTACCGAGCAACTTTTAGATTACACCCTATGCAACATAGGAATTAACCTCTTGATCCCTCACTAACTTGCAATACTTTATTACAAAGACTTTACAACATGACTAACTCTATCCAAGACGTAAACACACAAGTTTAAGGTTTACAAAGGGGTTCCTTTAGAATGTTTCTAAACAAGCGTGATAGGAATTACAATTGAAGAACTATTACAAAGTTACAACTCAACTAAGGACATAAAATGACTCGATGTGGGAACTGATCCCTAGTTGCTTTGTTCTTTGTTCTTGAAGCACTTGAAAGTTGCTTGCTGGATGGTCACGTGAGTGAGTTTGAGTGAAATCTCTAAGTGTTGAAGTGAAAAGTGTTTTAACTTCCTTGATTGTATAAATACATGTGTGACATCAGTTACAACGATGTAAGCAAGGTAGGTAAAAAGCCTTCCACAGAAAGTTGACTGCTGCGCTGTTCCTACACTATAGCGTGTGCAAACAGCAACTTTCCAGCTGGAGAGTTGACTTCGTACAGTCTCCTCGGAAACTGGTAGGGACCTGTTCCCTCAGCGGTTCCTTCCACTCTGAAGAGCTGAATCATATCCCACGCTGAATCCCAACCTGGATCCTTATGATCTTAAGGTCTTGTAAATGCGTAAAAGGTTCATTATCTGGTTTGGATAGTAAAATACTTATGACCTATGACTAGAGTACTTGTAACCTATCAATTTCCCCCTTTTTGATGATGATAAACTCATAATTGAAAATCCCAGAAAGAGCCACATAGAACTAGACTGCGAACCAAAAACACCTTAAGTTTCCCCCTAAATCTTTACATCCCCCCTTAATCAGTACCCTTAATCGGTACCTGAGCTTCTGCGAGTTCCCCCTGAATCTGTATTTCTCCCCCTTCAGATTATCATTCATTTATGCTCTTTATTATTCAATTAAATCTTCTCCCTTTTGGCATCATAAAAAGCACAAAACAAGTATGTAGCACAAAGAAGTCTAGCGCGGCTAACTCATGCCACTTGTGTGCACACAACATGATAGAAAACAGAAACAAAAGAGCAGCAGCATAAACAGCAAAAGGAAACCACTTGCATTAACCAAATTTTGGACTTTTACAGGCGGGAGCAGAATCATTGTTATCATCCATAGTTTAAAATAAACAAAAATACTTGCCAGAAACAAAGAAAAACATCACCAAAAACAACTAATAAGATATACACTGGAAGTTGGACACTAAGGGGACATTCGTTAGGGGACACTGGAGAAAGGGGGATTGGAAGAGGAAGCAATATGGAGAACAAGATCCATGCGAGCATTCGCGGACATTTGCTCATTGATTAGTCTTTGTATTAGGTCCTCCACCTGTTTCTTGAGTTCATCATTCTCCTTTGTTAGGCATGCAACTTTTGAGCTGTGAGAACTA